CTTCAGCTAGCTTCCTTCCAAATGAAGTTCCTGTGTTTAATATATTTTATGAGTTTTTACTTAAAAGTGTCTGCTAGATATAAAATTACTTGGCTAAAACTGGGGACAGTCATTACATTTTGTGTATGGAATTACACGCATTGAGCCTATCGTACACATAATAATATTTTCCTACGGCTTCTGGCAGCTGCATTTAAGTTTTAGTTATAGTTTCTCTTTCTATCATATTATTTACAAATATTAAAACAAAAGCTTACAGTTTATTCCCATAAATATATATATGTATACATATGTATATATATATATATATATATACAGTTTATCTGGCTTGGCTGTTGGGTGTTTGTCATGTTTTGCCAGCTTCGGTTTCATGCTCCTGGCTGGCCTGCAACATGTTGCACACACGTCAATGTTGCGCCTTTGTCTCGTAAATTTTAACATTTTTATTATAAAACCAAAATGTGTTGTTGCGGTTGCTGCTGTCGCTTGTTGTTGTTGTTGCTGTTGGTTTTTCTTGCTTACTTTTCACACAAAGCGCGCGATTTATTTTGTATGCATTTGGGAGCTGAAATTGATTAATTACAAAACGGAAGAGCTGGCTGAAGTTATCGATGGCCAGTTTCCAGCTAGTCTCGAGCCAAGCCTTTGTTTTGCAGCAACAAAAATCATTTTTCATGCTTAATATTTTACATTACTATTATTATTATTAATATGTTATTAACATTACACAAAGCCCAAGCTCAACGCACGCAAGTTTTGTAAGTCACGGCTCAGTTGGTCAGTTTTTGTTTATTGTTCTATTGAAGGCCGCTAGCTCACAATGAATTATCAGAATGACACTGAACTATTGAACCTGCTCCACTTGGTCGGGCGGACAGTGAAGCATAATTAAATAGAACGCAGCTTTGCTTGACTCGGGTTTCTTATGGTTGAATTCCTAAATCGATTAACTAAATATAAATTATTAAAAATTTGTTTCATAGATTAGAATATCCTAAATGTCTGAACTAAATATAAATATATATATATATAATGTTTATTATGTAAAAAAAAATATTTAAAAATTTATTTCATAAATTAGAATATCGAAAAATAAAATGATATATTTAGAATTTCAATTGATATTAATTAAAATAATGTTAATATAATAATATAATATAATAATATAATATAATATAATATAAATTCCCATCATTAAAAAATATTTGCAAATTTTCTACATTTCTAACTGTTGCACACATCGAGTGAGCACTGTACTTGTACTCGAAAACGTGTCTTTTATAATCGTGTTATGTGATTTGTGACATGTTTATGCAAAATATTATTAGAAACCCATTCATTAACTTCCTGCACATATTTGTCTTATTATTTACGTGCGAGCCATAAAACTGTCTGACAAAATAAAGACAGGATAAGGTTAGTTCCTGCCTGCAGCCCAGCCCCAGTTGCCTTAAGATTTACTTGCGATGTTGCAGAGGCGTGTGGCGACTATGTAGAGCGCTTAAATTGTTTACACAAACTGGTGTCTGGCGCCAATTCAAAGACATCCACTTGGAAAGCAGTTGGCGCCTGATCTTCAATTGCAAATGGAATGCAAAGACGCTGAAGGGGGGGGCGAAGCCATTGCAGTCTGCAGCTTGCAAATTGTTTCTGATCTCGAGGCAATCTTGTGAATGTGTTAGACGATTGTGCTGCAGCTTCACAAACGCCAACAACAACAAAAAAAGATGTCAAAGCAATTAGTTGAAATCAACTCTAGATACATCAGAATGAAAAGAAAAATACAAAATGTTTTGCCTCTCAGCTAAGCTGTTGCTGCTGCTCTTGTGTTTTAATGCCACATGTGTCGTCTTTTTACGACGCTGAACTATTTAAATTATATGGAATTTTTGTTTTTGTTTTTTTAATGAGCTATATAAATGTTTGGGTCTGTGGACCATGCACAAACATCTACAGAATTGTCGTGGAACATAATGTGCGTAGTGGCAGACAAGTACTAAAGGCTTAATGGGAAATACTTTTTCATAGCGTTTAATGGGGTGAAACTTTTAACCCTAGAGAGCAAAACGCTTTCGTAATGTAAACAAAACACAGAAATGTAATTTTTAAGAAACTTTTTGAGTATGTAAAATGTGTAATCAATATTTTATTAAATTATATTTTATTTATAACAAAATGAGAATATTAAGGTATAATTATTTATAATCGGCGTTCGCATCACGATCTTTAATTAAATAATATTATTTCCCTCATTTCTGGTAATTTTATGTTTTTTATGTATTTAATTTTGTTTTTTCTCATTTACTAATGAATTTCTCTTTTCTTCTTTCAGGTAAGTTTCACACGCCCTTTACATTATTTTGTCTGTCAGGAAAGTCGAAAATAAAACGAGCGTAAGTCTTAAGAGATATTTGCTTTAAGCTGTTTTAAAAAAAACCTCTTCAAACGATAGATTTGTTCCCAATTAGTTAGCTGTTTTTTGTCTGTTGTGCATTTATTAACACATTCCTTGAATTGAAGAGACAAATGACTCAACTAAGTTGTTACTTCAGCATTAGTCAGTTTTTTAAGCTAAGCAATCTCTATATAAATAGAAATTTATATAGCAAAATATGTGTGCAAAAGGTGCTTAACCTGAGAGTTCGTAGAGATCGTAGATAACTAAACAGGTATTACAGCAGTAGATTATAGATAAACCATAATTTATCTAAAAGCTCACAGATAAGCTGTATTTTCCTTTTGTTTTTTAATTTAATAATTTCCTTTGTCATATTATTTTTTCAGCTCATTAAGCCTCATTAGGATAACGTATAGAATGCGCTTTCAGAAGCCAGTTCCATTTTGCAGATCCTTTGATTAATTGGCAAACTTTTGCGCATCAGCGCACAACAAAAGGAGCTAAACCTTAAGCACTTTGCCTGCTTTGTTGTTGTCGAATACAAAATTCATAATTCAGAATCAAATTTATGTTTGCACAGCTCAATTTTTGGCCAGACAAAAAAAAACTGTTGTCTCTTCTTAGAACTCTGTCAGGTCTGTCTATATATAAATACATATATATATATGTAAGTATGTGCTATACTTTCTGTATATTTGTGTATATATAAAACGGCGGCAAAGCTACAAAGTCTGGCAGACTTGCAAAAAAAAAAAAAAAAAAATCTAAATGAGAAACTTCAACTGAAAAGTGAAGCTCGCTTTGAAACTTCTTTCAAGCATTGAAATATATATTGCAGTGTATTTGTTTTATTTGCAATAGATATAGCTTGAACGATGTGAAGATACATTAACCTTCGTATTTTTGGTCGTTTCGACAATTCTCGTTGTTTTTGGTTGCGCAAATACGACAACGACAACGACAACAGCGACAACGACAGCGACAGCGACTTTTGTATCTAAAATCAACAAGTTCACAGCGAACATGAAAAAGATAAAACCTTTAAGCCTCAGGCATATACACGCACACACACACACACCCATTCATTGTCAGGCATTTGCTTAGACAACAAACACCAAAAAACAAACCAGCAAAACCCAGTTGACATGACTTCACAAACACGTAAACACTGAAAGACGACTCAAATATAGAACGTAACTCGATCAGATAATTCAATTTTGTGACACTTTAGTGGGCTTATTTTGGGGTGGAACCTGGCGAGCGGCGTGCATGGGGAGAGTGAGAAGTTCTGTGGCTTCATTAGTTTGTTTGATTAAACTCTTGACTCGAATTTACAAATGAGTAATGTCTAAATGTCTAAAAGTCTAAATAAACTTCAAGTGATTTCTGCAGTTAGTTAAGCTAAAAAGTTAAAGCTCAATCAAAGGGTCTTATGAGCTTTCTATACCCTGTTTGTATACCCTTTAAAATGAAATATTAATATTTTCTCCTGTGGGAATAATAAAAATCCAATTTTTATATTTTATTTTATAAAAAAAAAGCGAATGTTTTGTGTATAAAAAATATAGATTCGCATTTTGTAAATACCCTGTAAAGAAATGCTTTTATTGTTGCAATTCTAAAACTTATTTTAAAAACATTTATGATCGATAACTCAGAGTAGATCAATAATTATCGATGAATGCCGCATTCAAACACTGCACAGCTGCAATATAGAATTTGTTAGCAGTCGCACGTTAATTGAAGTAATATTTTGTTTTCAAGCACTTACCATGCTTCATCTGATTGTTCCACATAAATTATCAAGCTGTGGCAAGTGGCAAATGTAAATTACAGTAATTTATCCACTTGCTGGCGCAAATATTTGATGACAATCTCGCATGCAACTGCCCAAAGTGCCTTTCACCAACTAAAACTAAAAAGGAAAAGAAAAAGAAAAACACTTTTGTGGCATCCACCAAAACATGCCCCATAAATATACGCGAGTCACCTAACGTAACTTCGAGAGAGAGCGAGAATGTTGGTATTCGATTCCGATTACCACAAGTGCATTGGAGGCCATGAGTAATGCAAATGGAACCTGGACACGGGAAATTGATACTTGGCTTACTTTGAACTCGAACAACTGCCCGCTGAGGTCGTCGAAATGGGGAATTCAATCCAAAAGTATTCGCTAAATTAGTTGATATTTTATTTCAGTGTCAATTTGCAAACAGAATTTTAGTGGTAAATGACTCCTGCAAATGCAAATGAGGAGGGATACGATTATCGAGTTTTAAATACTCTATCAAATGAAATTATTATTATTTTTTTATTATTATTATACATATATTTATTTATTTATATATTTAAATATTTATATATTTATATATTTATATATTTATATATTTATATATTTATATATTTATATATTTATATATTTAAATATTTATATATTTATATATTTTTGTATATTTATATATTTCCTATAGAACTGCAAACATTATCTATATCAAAAGACTTTATCAATTTTATACAACATTTCGCCAGGGTATATAAATATCTATAATTCTAAAATATCTTAAGTTGGCTTCATAATTTCTTTATATTAATTTGCCATTATTTAAGCTTGTTCCGAACTATTTTGTAAAGCTTCCTCAAGTTTGTTCTTGATCTCGTCTTTCGGTTTGGCGTCTTCCAAAACGAGAGCTTCAATTTTCTTGAGGGTCTCCGCGATTCTTTTGTTGTACTCGTCCTCCTCACTCGTGCTCTGTTGCTTCGCCGCTGGGCTGTCGCCTTTGGTGCGTCGACCCATGGTCAACTTGGTAATCAGATGCCTTGGCACACGCACCTCGGCGCCAATGCGATTCGCGCTCTTGTACTGCGCCAGGACGCGCATGAAGGGCTGCAGGGGACAGCCCCTGGTCTGCGCCTCGACCATCAGTCGGTGTGCGTAGTCCACGAAGCGAGCATCTTCGCGCAGGCATTCCAGCTGCGCCAATCGATTGTAGTTTGTGGCCGGACGTGCCTGCTCGTCGCGCCTCTGCTGTTCCTGCTTGTCTAGCTGGGCGCGCAGCTCGTGTTGGCGTCGCAGTTGCTCCTGGCGCTGCTGCCGCTTGAACTGCACGTGAATGCGTTCGTTTTCCAATCGCCTAGCCACATCGTCGCTGTGCTCGAGCTTCGCCTGCTGCTTGGCGGCCTCGGCGTGCTGCTGTTCGACTTGCTGCGTGGCCAGGCGCTGCGCTTTGGACTGCTCTCGCCGCTGGCGATGTTCCTGCTGCTCCACACTATGCGCACGTCGCATTTCTGCCAGCTGTCGCTCGTGGCGTCGCTGATCCTCGCTGGCGCTGTAGTGCAGCCGAGGTGCTAGCTGCTGTGCCAGCTGAGCGTTGCGCTGCAGTCGCCGCTGTACGCGCTGCTTGGCCAGATCGATCTTCAGGTTGTCCAGCCTGGCTTTGGCCTCGTTGTGCACCTCACATAGCGCCAGCTCCACCTTGTCCAGCAGCTGCTGCTGCTTCCGTTGGTGTTCAGCTGCCTCCAACGATGCCAAGGCGTACTGGCGTCTCTGCTGCACCTTGGCAGCCTGCTCCGTGCGCTCCTTATCCAGCTGCTGCTTCACTTGCAGCTGATTGCGTTGTCGCTCCAGACGTTCCAGTTCCTGCTGCTCAGCTTTCTCGGCGTTGCGTTCCAGCTGACGCTGCTCGATGGATTTGAGCAGCTCGCGCTTGTGCTCGCCCAGCTGCTGGCTTCGCTGTTGTTGGCGCAACTGCGCCTCCTCCAGCCCGTTGAACACCTGTTCGCTGTAGATGCGTCTGTCCAGCGCTTGCTGCTGCTCGTTGGCTGCCGCAAACTGTGTCTGCAGCTGCCGCTGAGCAATGATACCGCGCAGCACCTCGCTTTGCAGCTTGGCACAGTGCAGCTCACGTGGACCCGGCCGCAGTTGTTCCAGCAGCTGTTGCGCCTTCTCAATGCGTTGCTTCTGCCTAAGCTGCTCCTCGCGCTGCACTGCAATGCTCTCCTCTTGCGCTCGTTCTTTCGCCAATTGCTCTTCCTGCTGCTGCTGCAGCCGGTCTCTACGGCATTGCTCCTGCTCCGTGGCACAGAGATTGCGTCCGGCAAAGCGACGCAGTAGCTCCTCGCCGCCCAGGCGCACCTGCTCTTCGCTTAGCTGACGTTGCTTCTGGCTTTCTTGCCGCTGCTGCTCAGCCGCTTTGTTGGCATTAGCCTGCAGCCGCGCATAGCGCTGCAGCGATATCACCAACGGCGGCTTCTCGCGTATCCTCACCTGGCGTCGTTCCTGCGGCAGCCAACTGTACTGCATCGCATTTGACTAGAGAATCTACTGAAAGTTTTCTTGTTTTCTGTCATTTGCCAGCTGCTTATTATAGTCGTGTTTATTAGCTGTTGTCAAGGTGCCCGATGCGTAGTTATGGGAATGCCTTGTTACATGTTTTATATACATATTTGCAGCACTTATTTATAGTGGCAAAAGGAAGAGAGAAGACTTAAGTAGAGCTAGAAAGGAGTGACAATTGAGAGCTAAAAAGTGGGGAAGGAAAAATAGAATTTTGAGTAACTGAGTGTAAAAAAAATAAAAGAAAGAAAATGGGAATTGAAAGATATACAATATCATATCATATACATATAGAGATCAGATTTTTTTAAATAGAAAATATTAAATAAAATTATAAATTCATTTATAAAATAATATTGCAATCTCTCCTGGGTCAAGTAAAAGTATATAAGGGATCTGTAAATTTTAGATATTTATATATACTAATATATATTTATATATACTAATATATATTTATATATACTAATATATATATTTTATATTGACTAAAATTTCTTGTGCCTTTTGTGAACTTATTTATATTTATTTAAATATATTTAGAAGATTTCTTTTGAATTTTATTTTATTTATTTATTTATTTTTATTTTCATTTTTATTTTCAAAAATTTCGACTGGAGTTCACAGCTTATTCGCTGAGTGTATCGCTCACTTAGTTTTTTATTCTAATAACAATCTCTTATCTACGCAAATTTTAATTGATTTCAGTCTCCGAATGGCTGAGTTATTCGGATTTGCATTTTTCTAATACATTTAACTACTAATTGTGATACTTTGTGTAGGAAAAATGTCAATGTTGTCAAGTCACTTAGGCCAGAAATGTTGTCATTATTTTGATTAATTAGCCAAGTTAGCGCTTGCTGACAACTGTCAACGCAAATGGCGAACATTTTCCCCAAATGCCATTCGCGATGGCTTAATTATGTCCAAAACTTATGTCTTGGCCACATTTTGCAAGCAACTGCAACAGCTCAATGTGCATCTGGTGACGGGCTTTTCTGATAAACAAAAAAAAAACAAACAAAAAAAAAAAAAATATAAAAAATTGTTGAAAGTGCGCAATTTACGGGCGTACTTCACGATGCATGCTACACACAACTGGTCGCTAGTTGAGCTCAGTTTCGGAATGCCCACAAAACTCAAATTGTCAACTCATTTCCCGATTGCCTATTACAAGTTTCGGTGCTGAGAGCTACCGAACCCAGAAAAGGGCACAAAACAAATCTGCTTGGGCACGCTTCACTTGGCGCCCATTGAAATCCAGTGAATCGTATCTGTATCTCTCTAGCTGAGGCTCAAATAAATTTAATTAACACTTAACTGCGAATGGCCACTAAAAGTCTTACAATGAACTCTTTGTAGACTCTGTAAAAATATCTGTAATATATTTTTCAACACAAACATTTGTAGACTGGCCGCAACGCTAGACAGATCTGAGAAAGATAACGCGTTTTATATTCATTGAAGTTTGTGGATCAAAATCGGGTTGAATATATTCGAGTTGTGCCAAATTTTAAGTACTTAGCATACAGAAGCAAAAGTAAAGTGAAATACTGAAGCGTAACAATCGGGCCGGGCCCTTGAATTGGGTCAGTGATTCAACATTGTATACGGCGATATAGGCTACGACGGCCCTGCCCATAAATAAAGCCAATAAAACACGCGATAAAGGCGAACTAGTTAGTCGTATCTATAAGAGTGTATAATAGGCTATGCCACTCGTAGCTCTGTCTACTTATCGAAGTGGCATTAAAAGTGATTTCAAAGTTTATCGATCACTGTTTAGTTATGACATCTATGCGGCATCTACTTCAGCGACATTTACGGACTACTGCTTAGAAAATTTGAAATGCAATGGAATCTTTCCAATTGAAAGCCCTTGACATTATCTGTTAAGTATCTTCTGTTAAGTGTGGAGTCATGTCATGTGTATGTTAAATCTCTGTTAAGTTTAACATTTATGTTAAATTTCGACAGCAATTTGAGTGTTAAGTATTTATTAATTAATCTATAAATATAATATATATATTTTATAAAAGTTTTCTACGTAAATAGTAGACAAAGAAACGTATAGCATTTCAGTCAGTTTTAGATAAGATTTTACACCTTTTCGTTGCTTGCTTTATCTATATAAGTTTAGCACATCTTCATAAATATTAAACTTTTGCTGTAATATAGTCAATTACTTAGCAACGATAATCTTATCTTATCTGAGGTAATTGATTCCTCGTAAGCTTCAACTGATGGAATTATAGACTTTAGGTATGGATAAATAAGTTTTACAGCAATAGTTTGCCAGCTGAATGCAATTGTTGCTAGTTCACTTCCACGTCAAGTGCAAATGACAGCACTAAACAACTGGACAACTTGGCAGCTGGACAACAACCAACAACAAACAACAACAGAAGCAAAATTGTGCCTTCTTGCGGTCAAGCTCTGTGTCTTGGCCCTTGTTCGGTTCGGCTCTGGGCTGCTGTTGGTTGCCACTTGAATGACTTCATGTGCCCCTGTCGGAAAACTTGAAAAACTTGTCTTTGTCGAGAGGTAAAGCCAGGGGCAGTGTCTGGAACGAGAGCCATAGCCACACGTACCTTATGCAGTGGGCTCTTGGGCAGGAGAACAACCAGGTGAGAGGAGCGAGAGAGATAAACAAGAACAAGAGCAAGAACAATGATGGCGACTGGGACAACAAATGAGTGCAACTGTTTCTTATAGAACAAACTTCATGCAGTTCCCCAGTTTAGCTTCGTCCAGTTTTTCAGTCCGAAAAGAGAAAGAAGCGAGCATTCGCAAAAGCACAAACAATGTCCACTGACTGCTCTGCTGCGAGCTCCAAGTTTGGCCAGCAACGAGACGAGGTCGCCGTCTACCACTTTGTATCTTCTGCAGATCTTAACTGCGTCTCGGAACGCGTCCACATTCGCCAGTTGTTCGTCTCGATTGTGGTTCGGGCAATTAACATGCAATTAAAAGACGTTTCAATCTAAACAACTTTAGAGCGTAGCATACATATTACCACTTTGCACGGCATACACAGATACACACGCACACACATACACTGAAAATGTAATTTAAGCATCGTAAACACTTTAAAGATCTACACTGACTGACAAGCTTTGAAGCACCGATGTCCACATCGTCAGTGCCTTTCTCAATGCTAAATAGTCGGCTACTGCTCTTGCCATAAAAAGCCGATAGTCCTACATATATACAAGGTTTATGTTTAGCCAAGTTTTATTATGAATCGTTTGTTTTTTATTCAAGACCTATATCTGAGTTATTGTATCATAAGCAACTTTTCTATATGTTCCAATTTGGAGATCTCTCAATTTATACATGTTAAATATCGTTTATCAAAATCTAACTATGGAAAACTGTTTTATTTTTCTTCAGTTTACTTAATATTAGCTCGACTGACCAAGTTAATGTTCGTTCAGCTAATGACTAATGGCATTTACTTTAATACTTAGCATAAACTTTGACAAGCAACATTTCAAGTATGATTTGTTTAAATATTCTCTGTCGTTACGGCAATTTACTATTGTTAATATATGAAATGGTTTTTATACCCAGCAGCCGTTGAGTATATGCAAAATGGGCATTTTGTCTATGTGATAATGTATGTGACACGTGGCTGATTTTACATATGTAACCTGATGGAAATGTGCAGTTTGGTTGATCTAGATATGTCCTTCTATCCTTCGAGATGTAGACACTTTAAATTGTTATAAATTCTTGAGTGCTGCGAATGATTTTATCACTTAATTTTTGAATATCTTATGCTAATCTCTTAATATAGATTATTTAGCTTATCATTAAAATGATTTTGCATCTTCATTTCCAAAGGGGGAGAAAATAAAAAATCTTAATACTCGATTTTTTGGAACTAAAATTCTCTTATGAATTTCATGTTCATGTTTATATTTAATTCAGAAAATAAAGTTATTCAATAAAATATTTGCTAGCTGCATAACAGTCGATATACGCTGGTGTCAGGGTATCTGCTAGTCGTGCACTCCCGACTCTCGTACTCATACTTGCTTATTTTTTACAAATTTACTTCAAAGTTGTTTGCTGTACTCAACTTGTTCAAGAAATACTTCTGCGACTTATGTCATTTTTCGTGTAAATAGCGGACAATAAACACAACAACAACAACAACAACAACAACAACGCCACTAGCAATAACAACATCTACCATAACGATAGCACTCATAAGTTTAGAAACCCGTATTAGACATGTCTCTGTTCGACCCTTTTTCGAATCTAAAGCCCGACATCAAATTGAAGTAAAGCGCGTGGCTTTTTTGTTATTTTTGAAGGCGTTTCCATTTTGTTGGGCGGGGTTAGAGCAGTTGAACTCTTAATTGTGTGTTTTCATTATCAATTGAAATGTTCTGGATGCCTTCCATTAGACGTCAATAGACAGTACGTATTATATGTATGTGCACATATACAATTTCATAAGCCGCTCTATAGCATTATCATCGTCACGTTAGGTTTGTCCAGGCACTTTTCAATGCCAACTCGATCACGATTTAGACGGCAAATTTGTTAACTTTTCGATTTGTATATGCTACACGCTCTAAAGAGCATTGCCAATTGCATGTGTGTCTATCGAGAGCCCCATTATCGGTTAACATGAGCTTTACATCGATTTGTCAGCCACACCTGAAGTCTTGTTGATGCTATTGTTGTTGTTGTTGCTGTTGCTCATGTCAATTTTGTTAGTAGTTTTTTCAGTGTCAGTTGAAGTCTCTTGGGATGGCTGTTGCTTCATTAATAGAATGGGCTTTTAATTGAGGCTTAGCCACATGAAAAATTATTATGAATATGCTAATGTGCACAGAACTCTTAGAAGAAATATATAATATTAGCACTTTAGTGAGAAGAAAATGGTAAAAGCGATATATAGTTGTATGTGATTTAAATTGAGTTTTTGTGGAAAACATTTCGTTGATCTATAATTT